GTAAGTCGGATCCATGTAACCCGGGGACTGCCTGTACTAGGACCCAGAATTCAGACATCTGAAATCTGTAATAGAATTGCAGGACACCTAGGTATCTCATCCCTTTGAGAGTTCCGCTATGCTTCCCTCATCAGAGTACTGCTAGAAATGCTTGGCAGTTGGGTACAAAAGAAAGAAAAGATACAACGTCATGCTTTGCTCTGCATGTAGGAGATTGGCAGAAGTGCCGTGTGCACACAGCCCTTCCCCAGTGATGTACTTCTGAAGTTATTAGGCAGTTAGTAGCATCAGGAGGTGGTGCCCAAACCTCTCCTTGCATTGTGTATTTCTAGCTATTTAAAATATATAGTAAATCACTTGATAGCTTTTTGGTTCAGTTTTTTTAGATCTGTAGTAAACTTTGGGTTTCTCTTCCAATACGAATAGGGTGAGGAGAAGGTGGTATATTTGCTTGTGTGTTCGTAAATTGGAATATCTTGTTATGACATGCATGTCATGAAGTCTCTTTGTAGCACTATTATTCAGAGTACCATTTTATATTCATCTTCACCTAAATGGAATATCTCAAGGTAGAAAAATGCTTCCTTGGCAGGTATTTTTGGAATTGCCTCGTTACATGTAAGAGTTTCAGATTCTGACTTACTTAAACTTATGCCCTTTTCTCCTTCCTCTTCCACCCAAACTCAACAGGACCTTCTCCTGGCTGCAGCTTATGTGTATGATGCTCAGTATAATAGAAACATTCCATTTGAAACCTCACCACAAGCAGTCAGGTAAGAAAACAAGCTAACATCCAGTTCAACAGTATTCTGTAGGAAGAATTAAAATATCTAACTGGGAAACGTTTTCACTGAATTGGGGTACAGGGGATACTTGATATCAAGAGAACTTGATTTAAAACCAAGTTAACTTATTCACCAACACTTGTTTAGACACACGTTGAATCTAACAAAGAACATGGGCCATGCTTACATGATGGGGGATTCTATCCTCAAGATGTTGAGGGGGGGGGAAATTAATCCAAGGAACCAGGGCCATCCTTAGGATTTATAGGACCCTACATAGTATTATAAAACAAACATTGGTTTGTTTTTTTGAGATGTGATTTTAAAAAAAAATGATTTTTCAGCAATCTACTAATGCAGTGTTTCCCAAATGGTGTTCTGAGGAACCCCAGGGTTCTGTGAAGTGTAAATAAGGATTCAGCGAGAAAATTCCATTACAATAACACTCTAAGAATTTTTTGTACACCTTAAATGTGATTTTTTTTTTTAAAAAAAAATATGTGCAATTAAACTAAATGTTGATCTCATGACCTTGTTCAGCATTTGTTTATTATTATCCTTACTCATTTGTGGTCTACTTTTTTGGCTCCATATATAAAACTGCTATATGGGGTTCTGCAAAATTCTTTCAAGTTTAAAAGGGTTCTGTGGCCAAATAAAATTGGGGAAACACTAAACATTTCACTAGTGCAAACTAAGGTCCTGTAAACTAACACTGCGAATTCAGAAACTGATAGTATATACCTGGGGTTGGTAAGTGCCTGTAAACGGCTTCATTACCACTTGCATGGCTTTCACAGGCTCCATGTGCTGCTAATAGGCCTGGCAGACTTTTTCAGTTAACTAAATCCTCTCCAGAGGAAGAGGCAGGTGGGTAGACATTAAGACCAGCGGTATCCCAAATTTTCAGGTGCCCTATGCAGCTGCGTATTCTGTGTATGGGTAAGGATGGCCCTGCAAAGAACCAAAGGACACACAGAATAAATTCTTAAGTTGCTTGTACACCAGTACTAACAGCTGTGTAACAAATAAGATGAATTGGAATGACTTATGTGCATAAATTCCATCTAGCTTGGAATTTTAAAACCAATGCTCCTAGCATATTGAGGCAGGCTCAGGTAGGCAAAATGGATGGGGAAGTGGCACTCTACATCAAAAAGTGCTCCCTCTTTGAATCATTGTTAACTCTGAAGAAAATGATCTTTCTTCCATATTCATTAATGTCCATGATCATGGGACCCTTCAGCTTGTGTAACATGCGCTGGGGGGTTCGTGCTGCCTGCACTAAAGCATCCTTGGAATTTCTAAACCTAAGAGAAGACCAGTTTCCTATTTCAAAAATTGTTGCAGTCAATGTAGGATGAGATCTAATATAGAATTCCCCTAATGGATTAAGAGCAATTGATCGCAGAACTAAAGATTTATGGTAATAGGTACAAGTGATCATGACTGATCATATTTTATTGTGTAGAAGCAGAATCCAGTCCAGATTAGTAAAAGATGCACCAAATCAACATGGGTTGAAGGAAATCCTGTCACACTCGATATAAAATATATCTTTATGATACTGGTAGAGAAAGGTAATAGTGTTTGTTTGTAGTAGACATCTGAGGCAATGTGACCAAAAAAAAGGCATATGCCTCAGACGTCTACTACAATCAAACACTATTACCTTTATCTACCAGTATCATAAAGATATAACCCAGTATAAAAAGGATGAGTCCCAAAATGCGACTCCGCATGGGGAATCCTCATCGAGCAGCTGTGCTTTCATTTGAGGCCTGGCAGGGACATGTGCTAAATACAGTAGGGCCAAGAACTTTTATTAATGAGCTGGAAGGAAAAACTAAATCACCAATAAAGGTTGGAGATGATCCCAATGTTGGGATCCCTAAATAACAAAGACAACAGGTCATTGATTCAGAACAGTCTGGATTGCTTGGCATATTGGGTGTAAGCAAGAACTATGCATTTTAATACAGCTTGATGTAAACGTCCGTATCTTCACCCTGAGACTGACACAAATTTTGGGGCTATGGAAAATCAGCTGTACTTGAACGTGCTGTGACACTGGTCAAAAGGACTAATATGAGTCTTTGTGGTCCCCCCTCCCCGCCCCTCGTTTACTCAGCCCAGGTTAGAGTGAGGAGATTGTTTTCCTTGATAGTAAAATATGGATCGGTAACTGTTGGCAGCGTGCAGCCTTCCCTGCGCGGGATCCCGTTTGCCAGCCCAGCAGGTGTGCGGGGAACCCTCTAAGAGCCCAGCTGCCAGGGACCCACTTCCTGAGGGCTGTAAAGCACTCCCTGCAGGCACAGGGTGTGGGGAAGTCTGGGCCTGGCCTGGTGGAGCAGCCCACCCCAGCCAGGGTCGTGGGGAGAAGGATTCTGAGCCTACAGTCACCTGCTGCTGAAATGCTTCTGCTTTGGGCTGTGGGAAGAGCTGTTCTGCAGGGGAGGCTGCCCCGCTGCTTCTGGGGGCTCAGTCTCCTTGCGGCCTGGCTCTGGACTGCAGCATCCCTCGCACTCAAGTGTTTGGGGGCACTGGCCGTGCCGTGCAGCCCCAATGTCAGTGCTGCATGAACCCTTCCCCTTGCCTTAACTTCCAGCAACTGTAACAAAAAATACAAAAAAAGCAAAAGTTAAAAACCAGGAGGGCATCTTAAATAGAAGTCTAGATGGTCAAATTTGGGACGGAGTAAACATTCGAGTTCTGCCAGTGTTTTTGCCCTTCCCTTCCACCACGCGCTCTCGCCGTAGTGAGGTGAAATTGTAATTCTCCTTTCGCTGGAGAAATCTTCAGAGAACCGATGTGGGACAGCAGCATCTCACTGCCACAGGAGAGAAGCTGCAGGTTTCCCATCGCTTCCAGGGAATGGGAGGTGACGCTGACACTTTGACAAGTCTTTCCTTCCAATTAGTCAATGAATTTGCCAAATAGCTCTTAACCAAACCAAAAGTCTGTGCCTCAGCCTTTCAGTGACCAGCTTTTTTGTTAAAGATGAACACAGTATCTGAGAGCACTAATTTTATTAGTATTAAAGAATTAAGGGAGGAAAATAGTCCTTCCTTTTTTTTTTTTTTTTTTTTTTTTTAAAACCTGAAGCAAATAAAATTATTTGGTCTATACTCAAATACTCATTGCTTGCATTAAAACACCAAGACCTCCTAGTCCGTTAATTATTTTATTCTGGCCAGCCCTGTTTCTCTCTAGCTGACATTTATCCAGTGGTGGTTTGTGTGTTTAGGACCATAAAAAACATTTTGAAGACTGCAGCCACAAATATAGAACAAGCATCTGTCCGCCTTGGTGGCATTTTTAGAAGTGGTTCTTTCTGCCTTTCTCCCTTCCCTGGATAAAAGAAGTCAAGCAGTGTAGCACTTCGTATCACTAGAAAAATCTTAAGAAGCTTTATAGTTCAAAGAACAGTGACTGACACACAATGCGCTGGAGTATTTGCTGTTTTAACATGTTAATGGAAAAAACTGAAAGGCAAATGGTCTCTTATCCCGAGTCACCCTTATAAAAGCATGCCCGTGAAAGCTGGGCATTTCACACTAATAAATACAATCTTCTAGTCCCGGGGTAAAGTGTGCTGCCAAAAGTTATGGAATGCTTTTCACAAGAGAAATCCCTGTCACATCTCAGGGGAGATGTTTTTGTGGAAAACCTGCAGCCAGTCAGAAAAGGAGTTGTAAAGCTAGTGTCAACAGAAATCCTTAATGAAGGGAAAAATCTTCCTACTGCTTTTTAGCTCAGATCTTCGAAATGGCTTTGTCTCCAAAATCCAAGCTTGTTGTGTTTGCGTTTGACCTTGACCGAAGATTTTTACAGTCACTTCTCAGCAGAGTGAGCTGAGGCACTGCTGAGCTGTCTGACTTAAGGACTGTATCGGGCTCTTGGTGCATCCATATTCAGCCAACTGACCCAAGCTGAGTATGGACGCACCAAGCTGAGATGGAGTTGCACATCTCCACTGGGGTACACTGCTATCTTCAACACTGAAGCAGAAGTAGCACACAGCTGTATCCCTAAGTTGAGGAGCATGTGATCAGTACAGGGATGACACATCCTAAGGGGAAGTGCTAGTTATAAAGAAGAGGCAACTTTTTACCAACTTTGTGTTAATGTGTTTTTCTGAAACTGAATTGGAGAATAAGTGGATTTCCTTAAGAGGAATACAGCTTGAGTCTATCAGTCATCTGAACAGTTGGGAAATATCCAATATACCCAAGAACTGGAGAAAGAACTTGGCTAAATGAACTAGCACACTCAGGATAGTGCTTTGTGTAAGAATCGTCCCTGTATAATCTTGGCAAATAGCTGGCTTTGGGGACTTGAGTCTTTCTGAGGCCTTGCAAGATGTAGGCTGTATATGGTCCTGTAGTCTTTAGGTGGTCACAGGCAATGTTCCTCCTAATCTTTTTCCATCCATGGGCAGAACACATTTTGTGATGTGCACTATGGCATGTGTGACTGCACCACCAGTAGAAACAAAAAACCTAGTTGTGGGCTCTGCTAATCAGCTGGGTAGCATTTGAATTTCTCCTGATCAGCCGCACAAGCGCACAGCTTCCATGCACTAGTGCCCTAACTGTTAATATCTGTCTTGCCTCGCCAGACTTTACAATCTCTATAACCACTGGGCTATGCAAGCAACTACCTACTTCTTCATCTTTGTAGACCTTTCCCTTGCTGTGTTTGAAGATCCTGCTGTGTACCCACTCCCTTTCTTGGTAAGTATTTGGGTAAAAGGGAGCAATAGCTTTGTCATGTTGATGGATGGAGGCAGCTCAAGCCGTCTAATGTTTCTTCAAGAAGCTGGAGTATTTCTCTGCTTGTTTTCAGTAGGGGAAGTTACTGGATGTTTTTTAATAGTAATATCTGTGATGTCGGGTACTGCTGAATTAATCCAGTCTGCATGGGCGCATAGCAAATCTAAACCTCATGCAACCAAGGAATGACTTTCCCATTCAAGTGTGTGCAAGCCCTGTTAATGGTGATCCAAGCTGTGCATCCATCAACAATGCCGTGGACTGCCCCTCTCCACCACCAGTGCCAGGTTCATTACCGCGTGTGTTCACTTCCAGTAGTCTCACTGATTACCTCTTGAGATGCTTAGCCCACTGACAATATTATTATTTGTTGACTTCTGTGCACGGTGCTTGTAGATCGTATCAGGGAGGCAGTGTGGCTTAAGGCCCAGAACAACTGGCATTCCAGAGACCCGGGTTCTGTCCCAAGTTGGCCATTGCTGAACAATCTTGGGGAAAGACACTTCACTTCTTTGTGACTTTGGGCGTAATGGTCCTAGCTTCCTCCGTAAAGTGCTTTGAGCTCTGTGGATGAAAAGCTTGCTAGAAGAGGTAGGGCACTAGTTCCAGAACAGACTGCCAGAGCTTATGATAACAATGCAGCATGACAGTGTACCTGGACAGGCATCCCATCCCAAACGCCGTACATGTGAAAATCGACTAACTCGCTGAAGGATGTTATTCACAACTAAATTCCTACTCTTACCTGAGAAGCATGAAATAATGGTGGTTATCCTCTCATCAGTGACTTTTTATGGTGAGAGACTGCTCTAAAGAATAGAGCAATCTGCAGAAAACTGCAGTGAAAACCCATTGGACATGTCCTCCTTTCTGGGTATGTCTACATTGCAGAGTTTTTCTGGAAAAATGGGCATTTTTCCGGAAAAACCCTCTACACTTGCATCCACACTACAATTGTATTCTTTCGACAAAGTAGAAAAGGCAGGGTGTTTTCCGACAGCACTAAACCTCATTCTACGAGGAAGCTCTTCCAAAAGAGCTCTTTCAGAAAAGAGCAAGTGTGGACAGGGGAGAGGGGTTTTTCAAAAGAAGAGGCGTCCAGGAAATAACACAGGTGCCCTGGTGGCTACTCTGTCCCCAGCAATTTGAACTTAAATGTGAGAGTGTGTCCAATGAATGTGGACACGATCTTTCAAAATAGCACATTGCTTTCTGTTGTGCTTTTGCTGTGCATATTCTCTCTTTCAAAAGAATTTTTCCGGAAGATCTCTTCCAGAAAAGCTTCTTCCAAAAGAAAACTGCAGTCTAGATATAGCCTCTGTTGCCTGGGACTGACTCTTCCTTCCATCTGGCTCTGTCTGAACTCTTCTGGTGGTAGGTGGAGAATAAGGCACTGAGGGGGAAGATATTGGGAGAGTTTAGCAATAAAGTTGTGGGGGGCAGGATTTGTCTTCTGTTTTTTAGGTTAAACTTCATTTGCTGCCTCTCTGCAGGCCACCTCGCTGGCTGAGGTATTGTGCCTTTTGGTGTTCTTCGGACGACTGGTGCATTTTGCCAAAGTCACCCCTCGCAATGTGTTTTGGAAGGATACAAAGAATATCTGCATTGTAATAGCAATACTGGTGAGTTTCCCATGTGGTCGCTGTGGTTTGTGGGGAAGCTAGACCTGTAGGCTTGTTTTTATTGTCCTACTTCCACTTGCATTGTGAAAAGGCGTGTGTGACCTGATGGGACTGGCCAGCATCCAGGTCTACAAACAGCCTGTTTGTCCTGATGTGTCCCCAGCAAGTTAACAATCCGTTTCCCTGCTGATTTCCAACAGACCTGGTTTCTGAAATTGTTGAGAAAAGTATGCGGCAGGAACAATCGTGTGTGTGTGTGTGTGTGGGTGTGTGTGTGTGTGCGTGTCATAACATGGTCTAGTCTACCGAAACTTCTATCTCCTGTCAGAAGACACTACCCCAAGAAGCATTTTAATTGTCAAACACTAGGGCTGCGTTAGTGAGTCTCCAGCAGTAAACCAAAGACTTTTCTGTGAATTGTTGCTGCTCTTTCTTCCACAGGGGACTTTAATTGACCTGATTATCTATGGGGCACTTAAAATCTCGAACATAAACAGTGTTAGATGGTCAAGAGTCCTGAGACCCGTTTTCTTAATAAACTTTGCAGAAAGTCACCAGGTAAGTCACGCCGACGGCTTGGGTGTCCTTTGGAAGTTGCATGCGAACATCTTGGAGTAGAGCATTTGCAGAATGGCTGGAAGATGGCCGTGCGGAAGACAGCCGTTGTAGCTCTTACACTGTGCCAAGACCCCTTGTGC